AAAAAAAAAAATTGTCAAGTTTCTTTCTTGAAAAACTATTATCCCAACTATTAGAAGAATTTGACTAATGTCATCAGCAATTTAATAGGTTATAAAAGTAAAATAAAAGAAAAAAATTTCTATTACTTATCAAATAGCGCTACAACAAATAAAATTTTGACAGACTTTTGATGGCACAAATGCAACAACCAACTAAAGTAACTTATCTTTCTTGTTGATTGTTCAAACTTTTTCTTCCTTCGGTATGTCAACTCTTCTGTTTTGTCAATCTTTGATCAAAAAAAAAGCAGAAAGTAATTATGCTGGTTAATTTTTGAAAAAAAAAATAAAGCAAAATATTATGCAAATACTTTATAAATATCGGATAAACTGTTGTTAAGTCAAGGTCACCACCAGATATCAACCACGTTCCTCTATTGCCACCACTACCGTTATCGCCATAAACGGTATACAGAAAAAGATAAAAAAAAAAAGAAACAAATAAATATTTCAAAAAGGACAACGGCAATTTACGTAATTTAAATTTTTTTTGTCAAAATAACACTTTCTTTTTGTTTATTTACTTATTTTATTTATTATGTAATTGGAAATACAATTCTTAAACAACTTTTTAAATTGGAAACAGATTAGTTATAAAGCATAAATTCTTAATTCTATTTGTGTGTTTTAAATTAAGCGTGAGAAATAAAATTGAACTGTTCCTAAAGTTATTGTGAATATCCTTCAAACAGTTCAAACTAAAACTTTTTTTTTTTCAGTTTAAATTGTGTAAAACTTAATTAATAAGTAAATTTTGCAAGAGTAGTAAAAATTGTTGCTTCAAATGCATAAATAGTTTATGTCTAAATATTGAGTACAACAATACAGTGATTAGTTTAACTTCAGTTAATTTGGATCACCTCATTGAAATGCCTTATTTGATGATACAAAAACTGTTTAGGTTTGATTTAAAATGAAAAGTAGAAAACAACTTTATTGAGGTTCAATTAGAAAAGTTTTAGGATTGAAAACAAATCTAAAATTTCTTTGTTCTAACCAACAAACTGTTCCAACTGGTTCAACAAATTATCTGTTCTTCTTCGGTG